TGTAATGGTTAGAAAGCTTGTCTTACTTGATCAATTACGACTGAGGAGTGAGATCGATCCTCACTGGGTGCCCCATACTTTCGACCTTGTGCCTCATCTAAGCTGGACATACCGTTCCGTTTAGACATAAAAGCAGTGTTCATATGACTAACATGTGTCTTGTTTTATCTTGCCAAAATAAAATTCGTTTTTTTTTTACTGAAAACGCTGTTTGACCAGCCAAACATGTAAAATTACACTTTCAAATTATATTAAAAGGCAGAACACTTGATTTTAACTTATTTATTTTGATAATTATAATTCTTCATGATAATTATAATTATGAGCTTCCATACTAAATTCAAGTTCTACAAATCGCTGGTGGTAATCATCCCCCTCTCCGGATGTGAGACTTGGACACTTGTGGTTGAGGCAAAAACAAAAAAAAACAAAAAAATGGTCCAGGCGTTCGGGAACAAATGCTGGGAAAAGATCCTCTGCATCACGTAAACCACTGACTATGTACGGAGCAAGACCAAAAGTTTCTTGAACCGAGAGGAATCTCTTCTAGCCACTATTAAGCATCGGAAGATGCCATGGCTTGGCCACGTTACACGGCAAAACAACGTCTGCAAGACCATCAGACAAGAGACTGTTGAAGGTGGACACAATCAGGGACGACAACGCAAAAGCTGGGTAGATAACATCAAAGAGAAAACGGACATGACAATACCGGAGGAGGCTGTAGCGTTCTTCTCCTCCTGGTGGGCGGAGGGGGGGGGCTGTACCTTTCTTCTGAAACGATTGAAACAGTCAAGAGACTGATGATGATGACGATTGTTATTTTTAGTAATTTTATTTAATTCAGTCAGTTATGTGCCATGCGTGATACACGCTTAGGCGATCATGTATCTTTCGATACATAACTGACGAGGCAGATTTTCTCCTGCAGTTGGTTGCCATTTCCTTCTGCGGTAGACCAGTTGCAATCCAAGGCTATAGAACCCGGTCTGCCCTGCTGTTTATAGCTGAGAAGAGAAGAGGATTTATACCTTTTCTAAGGGTAAGTGAATGTAATGAAATATGACTGGAATTCGAACTCGGCTCTCCGATTCCTCGATCCATTGCCTCCTTTATTATTTATTTACTATTGGTGTCGGCATCAGACAATTTACATCGGTTTTTTGTTGTCAATCGAAGCAGTTCACCGATGAAAGCGTAATATAGGATGAATCGGGAGACATACTGAACTATGGCTCGGAATAAGCGTCTGTTTACGATTGCCTGAATCTTTTAAGGATCCGGTGCGACTGTTTTTTCATTAAAAAATGACCAAAGAAGGTGCGATCACTTCCTGAAAATTGGCACTTATTTTTTATTCAGATTTGCTCAAGATTTCTGGAGGAGGCGTTTCGGTGTTGTACTTAGGTTCTTACGGTTCGTCCCTTGGGGTTTTTTTCCGTGCGCTATAATATCACCAGAGAGGTTCTTTACTTCCGGAATATGTTTCAGTAGATCCGAGATCGCTTTTTGGACGATTTCGGATTCTTCGTTGACACCAAATAATAGCCTCTTTAACGATACAGCCCTAGATTTGTGTTGAACGTGTTTACACACCCACATGTTTTCTCTAGCTCGAGAGGTCCAGATTGCTGAGTCTTAGAGGAGTTTAGGTCAGCAATAATGTGGTCAACGGTTGGCATCTCTCCCTCTCTCTTTTCTCTCTCTCTCTCTCTGAACGTCTTCGTTTGTTTTTCTCATGTCTATGCAGACTCTCACTCCAGCAGTCATTTTTGGAACTACTACATCTTTCTTCCCTCAGGGTGTGGTCCCAGTGACTTTATAACGTCCAAATGTTCCAGTCTCTTTATCTCTGCATTCATATCTATTTGGGTATGAGTCAGTGGCGCTGTGTTACTGGTGGAACGGAAAGGTCTATATGTAGTCTGATTTTGATGCGAGAAATCTTCCCCATTTTACCGTCAAATAGCGAAGGTCTGGTATGTTGCTGTGAAAGGCGGATGAGAAAACAAAATGGATGACGCTTAGCGCTTGAGCGGTGTTAACGCTTAAGAAATTTTATCATGTGGTATAAGAACCGGAAATAGTGGCCCACGACGTATGCGTAGCATAGATGTGGCCCAAGGCCTAAAGATTGGGGCACCCAGTGAGGATCGAACTCACTACTCAGTCGTAATTGATCTAGCAAGACAAGCTTGCTAACCATTGAACTTGAAACACCGGTTCTTGTCCGATCACCGAAGTTAAGCAACATTGAATCTGCTCAGTAGCTAGATGGGTGACCGTTTGAAAATAGCAAGCGCTGTAAGCTCGGATGTGCGGGTGATGCAATGGACAAAGGTTCAGAATGAAAAGACGAAAAGCCGAGTTCGAATTCGGTATTTTCACTTATGTGCAAATATCTTTGGGAAAGGTATGAATCCAACACTCCCCCCCAGCTACGGGTTAAGTAAGAAAACTTTTATGAGTAAAAATCATTATTATCTTTCTAAAAAACTTCCTTCAATCCAAAGGTATTTTTCTGCTTTAAATAACCTCAAAATTGTTGATAAGCCGTAAAAAAGAAATCAGTCAATGGCTAACCGTTACGCAACGTCAAAGTTTCCAACACCCATGATGTAAGTAGTGGGTTTCATTCTGACGTCATCAAATTGGATCTCTGCTTTTAAAAAGCCACGAACAGGGAATGTCCGTATCGATCCATATGCGTAAATTCTGGCTGAATATGTTTAAAGTTTCTGTTAGATACGAGTGTTCTCATAGTCTGCCCCGGCTAAAATGTTTCGACTGGCACCGGTATCAACCAGTCGGCCTACTATTTATGCGGACCGTCGCTGTAAGAGCTTTTGTTGTGGGCGTTGGTATGTCTCGGGCCGAAAAGACAGACTCACCACGAGAAGGTCCAGACTTCACCGTTCCCTCTCAGAGAAACATTTGATAAAATTTATCTTATTGTCTTATTTTAACAGATCAACAAACTCTTGCAAAATGATTCACTTTGTTGCAGCTGTTATATTTTTTTTTTTATTTAGCAGTACAAGAAGTACAGGACTTTTGTTCACCACAATATTAGCAGCATATATTATTATGTTCATACGTTAATGCGGCTCGGATTGAGGAATCGGAGAGCCGAGTTCCAATTCAAATCCATTACATTCACTTACGTGCTAATACCCTCGAGAATATATATAAATCCTCTTCTTCTCTCCTCAGCTATGGGTAAATACCAGGTGAGACCGCGTTCTGTAGCCTTGGATGGCAACTGGTCTACCGCAGAAAGAAACGGCAATCTACTGCGGGAAAAAATATATGTCTCGTCAGTCACGCATCGAAAGATACATAATCGCCTTGATGGTATTGTGTTATTATGAAACTGAATTGAATAGGGATGCTGATGTTGATCACTCCGGTTTCTGACGTTTTTGATGCCTGTTGCTATCTTGGGCAGTCATGCTGTTTTTTCTGATTTTCTTTTTTTTTTTTTTTATTTCTACGATTCCGTGGTTTCTATGGCACTTGCTTCATCTAGAAGTCATTTTAAAGTGCAACATACTTCTTTTTTTTTTCTTTTTTTTTTTTTGGTCAGAGATTTTCTTCTAATCCTGGAAGAAGAACAGGCATACATCATTTGTGTAAAAGAATCTGGTTTTCGGTGTTATCTAACTCTACAATCCGCAGCTAGCATTCGCAGTTCCGTGTAATTTGCATCCATACTCTCTTTCGGGATTTGTGGGTTCTGTTGGAATTTGAATACTTCATAGGAAATATTTTAGGGGAAGTGAAATATTCCGTGAGGGAGTGTTTTATTCTCTCATATTTTACTAGCACCTTAACGTCATTTATACGTTTTCACGCGCCAATACTTATTCCCTTGGGTATCAGGCAGGTGGTAAATTATAAATTCTTACCCAGCATCATGAAAGAGCATTACCTTTTCTCAGTGTCCTTTTCTATGTTTAAGGCACATAAAGGTAGGTACTTAGATTTTACTATCCATTTGTGCCACACCTCGGGCTTGTGGTGAAGGGCCTACTATCCCCAAACACTCCAACCCGTTGGCAAGCCTAATTGTGGGGCCCCGGACAGTGCTTTCTTACACTCGCTATCTTAGCCAAATTTCTTTCTTTTTTTCTACCTCCATTTATATACGTCACAAATGAAACTAAATAATACAACTGATGATTAAAAGATGAACAAGTTTTGCGGATTATAACATGACTGTTGTATTTTTTTCAAATCCCTCTAATTATTTTGCTCATGCTTTTTTTTTTTTTTTTTTTACAATGCGAGTCGCCTTTTACAAGGCACGGAGGTCACTCGAGGTAGAGGGTTTGTTGTAGAGTAGTCTTCACAGTGGAGGCTTGTATTTCGCTAAGTCGGTCCTAAAAGGGTCCGATGTACAAAACGTTAGGAACTTGAAATAAGAGTTAATGACGCAGCAATCTAGTTGTGGCGGTTGATACTTCAATGTCCGACATCGACTGACTCACTCAACTCCACTGAGCCCAACTGGCGACCGCTACTGCTACTACTACTTATTATGTGTGGGAAAGTCTATTACAATAGAATAGGTAATGTTCCGGTATAACAGGGTTGCATTAAAAAGCAGTTTATGCGGATAGGAGTGGAACATAATGGTTAACCATAGACTTGAACAGGTTAAGATTATAGTGATCGGAGAAACGTCCTCTTGGGAGTCGGTTCAACAGAGCAGTGATCTGTGGGAAGAAGCTGTTCCAATTAGAACTGACTTCTCACTAGCATTTCAACACTTTGATTTTCCTGCTTGTTTGCACCTTGCTTAGCTTTTGGAATACACCTTCCTCTAGTCCGCATTTGTCATCCTCTGTTCAAGTGGAACTTATTTCTCACCGATGGAATACCGACGGAATGTGGATGGTTTTACCGACCGGGAGTTGTGGGGGCAAGCCTGATTGTGGTGTCCTCGACAATTTCTTTGTTATAAGGCCCGGAGGCCACTCGAGATAGAGGGTTACATTGGGAAGCCATTTTTGTGTATTGGAAGATTGGAAGATAACAGTTAACCTTAGCCTTGAACAGGTTAAGATTGTAGTGGTCGGGGAAACATCCTCTTGGGAGTCGGTTCCACAGTCCAGTGGATCTTAGTTACACCGATGGAAGACGGACGGAATGTGAGTGGTTTGCTAAGATGTAGGTGGTATGGCGTGTTCTTACCGTGAAGATTTGACATGACGGGAATAGAGAATGTAATTCGTCCGAGCACTTTTCATGGAAGTAGCGCTATAGCCATGAACAGGCTTGCTACATCCCGCCTGTTGGAGAGAAGTTCAATGGCTGTTCGGTGGGACCAGGGAATGGAGTTCGTCCGAGCACTTTCCGTTGAAGTAGCTGAAGAGCAGTGAGAGATTTGACATATCCCACCTGTGGGAGAAAGGTTGAAGGGTGAAGAATGATTCGTCACCCATAAGCTCAAGCTTATAAAATATGTTAGGCGCTGTTTTCCTCTGTTCCTCTTTCCATCAATCTGTCCTGTGGGTATCAGATTTGCCAAGCCCTCCTTCCTTATTACATGCCTCAGACATTTTTTTGATTCCATTCTTTCCAAAACCTCGTCATTGTTCAGTCCATGATATTCTCAGCATCCTTCTTTAGAACCACATTTCTGTATCTCTCTATATTTCTGAGATGAAGTATTATGTACACTATTTCCATTATTGTCCTCATCTTTGTTGCCATATTTATCACAACTTTTCGGTCGTTGTACGTCCCGGCCTTCCTCAGGTGGCTGGAATATCGGACTGAACATTTATTTTCACTCGCTGGGGTAGACTGTTCTTGTTATTAATGGATGTCAGTTAGCAGGTATATCCTGTTAATTCCCTACTCCAAGTTCTCCACTGCCTTAACCGGGTATTGAACTCACACTTATGTCACTGGATCTAACCAAAGCCTTTATCCACTGTGCCATGTGTCCTTAAGCACAAATAATAAATTGACACATGTAAAGGATACATTTATGTGTGATTATAATAACAAAAACAAACACACACACACACACACATACATATATATATATATATATAATTCGTATATATAAGAGTGTGTGAGTGTGTGTACGCGCGCATACTTCTATGTGCGCGCGTCTGTGTGTGTGCGTGTTTCTGCGTTCGTGCGTGTGCGTGTGTGTGTGCGTACTTTTCTGCGTGTGTATGTCTGTGTATTTTAAGGAAAGAGAAAACATGCCTAACATAACAAAAATTGCCTTTTTCCCCCACAACCCTCCCATCCCTATATATGCCTACTTCTCCCCGGATCCCTTCCCACTTAAAACTATATCCTCACAGACTACGCCCCGCCAATCCGTCCGGCAGGGAACGGCACGGGTGGGTGGAAAAAAAAGCTACAACAACGGCCAACATTGGACCCCGAACGAAGTGTTTTAATTCCATTAGAAATTGGCGGTTGTAGTTGAGAAATAAAAATAGTTGACAAACAAAAAGGCATTGCCTGGGGTTGTTTGTTATGGCAAGGGTATGGAAGGACGGACGGAGCAAAATGTGATAGGCGCCAGGATTACTTAACATTACGGTTTAGTGATTGCCCCGTATAAATCTATAGAAAACTATCTTTTTTCTTTTATTAATGCCATGTTCTTTCAGAACGTAGGAGATCATGACTCTTCACACACTTCTTTTCTTTATTATCTATGAATTTTCTATGCATTATTCACATTCCACACCATTTCAAATAAAAGGTTATGAAGGAAACCCATATCAATACTGGAAGATGCAATAACAGCTACTGTACTTGAGAAGCCTGTTTTCTTGAAAAATTGTTTTAAGACAAAGATTTTATAAATTTCAACCCAAAACAGTACTGGCTGCTCGATCAATAAATGCCAAATGTTTCCTTGTATTATGTGTGTAAGTGTATAATAATCCTACTTTGTCTATATAGGATTCAAATGATTATGTATAAGTGTGTGTGTAGTAGTAGTAGTAGTAGTAGTAGTAGTAGTAGTAGTAGACATTAGGTTTGGTAGCTTTTGCATGTTGATTTGGGAACGTACTTACGTACATACAGTTTGTTTTAAATAAACATACGTTAAATTGTATAAGAATGGATTCAATAATGGTAGGTGATGTAATATAATATTTTTGGTATGTGTTTATAGTTGGCATTTTTTTTATTAGACGTAAAGAATTAGGCTCTTTTGTTAATTAAGGTGGCATTTGGAAAATAAAATTCATGGCCAGTTTTATTCCTGTATATTTCGAGAGAGTTTGAATGGTTGTCTAATCGTAAACGTCTTTTATGTTCGTAAATA